GAAAGTGTTCGAGGAACAACTAGGCGGTCCGTGACAAGTGGTATCAGAGCTTCGTTCGAACCGAAGTCAGTGAGGGATGACTGGTAAAGGGCCCAACTTGACGAATATGAACGAGGGTAACAACGATGGTGTCAATGAAGGGAAGCACCACTGAAAGTGCAAACGTTGTTCTTCTGTGGATGTCATAAGCGCTTTTGATGCAAGGCTGGAGCGTGTGGAAGATTTCCTCGGTAGGAATTTTGAAAGGATCGAAGAGGTCGATGTCCGTTGGTTGACACATTGGGAAGGACATTTGAGAGAGTACATTGATGAATATGCCAACTTACTACTTGAAATCCCATCGATGATGCTAGAAGAAGCATTATTCGGGTTTACCGAAGGATTGAGGCCGTGGGCCAAGGAGCGGGTTGTGGATAAGTGTCCGGAAACTGTGAATGAAGCAATGAAATATGCTTCACGATTGATTGAATTTCAACGGAGGGAACCACACAGGAGAGACGATGGGTGGAGAATGACATCGGACAAAAGTGGGGGAGATACGTCGAGATCCGCCCCACGGCCGGACAAACGTGGGGGAGATGCCCTAAGATTCGCCCCACAACTCGAAAGAGAACGTCAAGCACCTAGGGCTGCAATGATAGATTTCTTCAAACCGGGATCGAGGTATGAGGGTTGTTTTGTTTGTCAATCAAAAGAACATTTTGCAAGGGATTGTCCGAACCGATCAAATATTGCCGCGGTGACCGAGGACACTAACCCGATAGAAGAACGAGTGGCATGCATGAAAGCAGAGGGTGATGGCGAAAAACATCGAGGACGTATGTACATGAATGTCGACATCAATGGGCGCTCGTACTTGTGTTTACTCGACCCGGGGGCGAATGCGAATAACATGAGCAAAGAAATAGCTCACGAGTTGGGGTTACAATGGGTGTCAACGGAGGGTCGATTCAAGGGAGTAAATAGTGCATGAACACCTTTGACGGGAGTGGCAAAGGACGTACCAATTCAAGTCGGAGATTGGAAAGGTATGGTTAATTTCAATGTTGCCCCTATTGACGATTATTTGGTGTTCTTTGGCATGAGATTTGTCGAGCAAACCAAGTTAGCAATGATACCGCACAAGGACAAATACACTATTATGGATGAAAGCATGCCATGCGATATCACCGTTTACCGGGAGAAGGAGTTGACGCCAAAGCAACTCGAAAGAGGATTGAGGAAAGAAGACCCAACGTTTGCGGCTATTTTTAGCAACGAGGACCTCCTTGGTTACAAGGTTGAGGAGGCCATTACACCACCGAAGGAATTTAAGGATGTGATGCCAAAGGTGTTACCGAAGGGGTTACCACCTTGACAAGCGGTTGACCCCGCCATCGACTTGGTGGAAAGTGCAAAACGAGTATCTCGACTACCACACCGGGCGTTGCTCGATGAAACAATCGAGTTGGAGAAACAAATTGGGAAACCTTTGGAAGCAAAGTTCATTGTCCCGTCAAAGAGCTCTTTAGGTACACCAGTGTTCTTTCAATTGGAGAAGGATAAGAGTCTCCTCAAGTGTAATAACCACGGGACGCAGAACAAGGTGACAATTCGAGAAGGCGATGAATTAAAGACGGAAATCACTACGAGATGGAGTGTAGTAGACCATGTTGGACACTTGCGGAATGTGTTGCGAGTTATACAAGAAAATCAACTATATGTCCGGAGAGGGTTTAAGATAGACGAGGTCGGAATCTCAGGATACATCGTGGCCGATGGAAGAATTCAAGTGGAGTCTGGGAAGGTCAAGATGGTCATAGAATGGGAGGCGCCCAAGTCAACTATGGAGAAAGACGAGAGTACCGAGAAGAACCCATTCGAGATCATGCCCGGTTTCCAACCAATGACTTCGAGAGACTTGGTGAGTATGTACAAAGGACCGAGTCCATGGGTGTTCCACTTTGCCAAGGGTTGGCCGGGTCGGGCAAAGGTGACGCGGCTATATTCAGAGAGATCCCAAAGATGCAAGAAGGGGGACCGAAAGCGCAGGTTTCAAAGATCCAAAGAGAGAGACTTACCGTTGGTACGATTCTATCAACATGGGCGTATACGAGAAGTGCACAAAGGGTCAACGAGACGATATGAAGGCCTGTTCCCGATCATGAAGAAAGGAGGCAAGGTAAAATACAAGGTGGAGCTACCCGAGGGCTTGTCCCAACTCCACCCGGTATTCTATGTTGGTATTCTTGAGCCTGACTATACGAAAGATCGGGACCCAGATCAGAATATATCGACAAGAGCACCACCCGGGATGCAGACAACGTATGACAAAATAGCCGAGGGAATATTGATGGATCGACTAAGGTGCCGCAAGAAACATACGCCCTCGACGGAGTACTTGGTGAGATGGAGAGGCTTGTCCGAGACTGAGACGAGATGGAAGCCGGATGAGAAACATTGGCAATTCAAAGACTTGTTACATGAATTCGAGGCATTGAGGACAATGTCTTCATCAAGTGGGGGAGAATGTCACGGACCGAAATCCGTGACCGAAGATGACCGAGAGAAGAAGCCAAAACCCGGAGGCTAGTCCGATACTTTGTAAATAAAACTAGAACTTGTATGGAGTAGTTGGGGGTTGGTAGATAGTTGGTGAAAGATGGTAAGTAGGGGTTGGTAGATAGTTGGTGGGAGATGGTTGGTGAGGGTTGGTAAAAGATGGTTGGTAGATAGTTGGTGGAAGATGGTTGGTAGGGGTTGGTGGATAGTTGGTGGGAGATGGTTGGTGGGGGTTGGTAGATGGTAGTTAGGAGATTATGAACTTGTATAAATAGGTAGTAGTGCTCATTTGTAAATCATCAAGTTGAGAACAATAAACATCTACTTTCCCTCACTACTTCCCCTCTTTACGATTGTTGATTGTTCTTGATCGTGTTCTTGAGTGTTCTTAGAAGTGTCCAAAGAAAGGCTGACTAGCAACCTCTAAGTGTCGGGAAGTTGCTAGGCCGCACGGAAAGTGTTCGAGGAACAACTAGGCGGTCCGTGACACTTGGAAAAACCACGTTATCCGGAAGGTCATCCCTCACCAACTTTAATAGTAGGTCAACTAAACATTGGACCATTGGGATAGAACCTTCAAATGCTGGAGAAGGGGGATGAATGATAACTTGCTCATATTTTTTTTTTGCCCGGTATAAGGTCATTATCAGTGGAGGAACCATAACTATTTGGTCGTAAGGGGCTAGAGATTAAAAGATTAAAATTTAAAATAAAAATAAATTATAGTATAAAAATTTAATACCGGACAAAGTACTCTACCTCAAAAATAAATTACCTTTAACTAAATATGCATAAACAATATTTTCGTTGTGAAGATAAACAAAAAACAATTCCACCAATAAGATTTCAACTTCGCCCAAAATAAAATTCAAATCCAACTATTGACCTAGAAAGAAACAAAATATTACTTAATCAACTAAACAAAAATAAACTATAAAATAGATTTTATTATAATTATTATTTACCTTAGTGATGTCGCGAGAGTCGAATTTTTCGAGCAGTCATATTTTGAAACCGTTGCAAAATTACTTCAGTTTCAATAGTGACGAAAATGAATTTCTCAATGTAACACACTAGACAGTTGGTAAAATATTCATCTTCTATCGAGTTTCGCAAATCATTTTTGACAAATTTCATTGCCGAGAAAGATCTTTCAACTTTGGCTGTCGTGATAGGTAAAACCAATATGCTAACTCGATTAATCGATAAGTCAAATAAAAAATACTCTTACAATTCATGTGAATTATCTTCTGGGCAAGATCTCCAATATCACGGAGACCTCTGATTGTTCACCCGTTAAAATTATGCAAAAGCACCAGGGTTACGATGATTGCTTAGGCTATGCAATTTTATTATAAGTGATTCCTTAAATTTGAAGTTCAAGATGACATAGTATAATGCCTGTAGCATATCTGTTTGAAGCTTTACTTTGTTCTATGAGAAACATTTGTGTAAAGATTTTATTCCTTTGCCTTTTTGGTTTTAGTAGGTATATATATATATATATGTATAGTTGTTCATGAACACACACCATCTATTACAAATTTATAAAAATAGTTAATAAATTGGAAGTAGTAGAAGGGCGTGTAAATTTAACCTTAGTTCAAAAATAAAAATATATAACTTTTGAAGCATTAACATATTCTATGAATTTCATCCTCTAACTAGTCCATCCTTGTTAATATATGGAGTATTGTTTTTATTTCTGTTCTTGTTTTTCAAGTAAAAAAATAAAATATTTGAATATAATAATTTTAATATTGTGATACTTTGACCTCCAAGCCACGCAAAGTCGGGCGTTTCGGAATCGTAGACTAGCCCCACAAGTCAACACGAGTCTTTCCGGTGCTTTTTTGTCATCAATAGAGCTCACGAAAAGAAATATGCATATTGTTGACATAATTAGTCTATTCTATTTAACATCTAATTAACTTCGAACACTACAAAAAAAATAGTATATTTGTAACAAAATTCCGTTCCTAAAATTCACGTAGCTAATGTAATTCCATTTCTAATTCCGTCTTTAATATCATTATTAACGGAAAAAGTGAATTTAGGAACGAATAAACGTCGTTACAAAATTGATAATTTCTTGTAGAATGACCTAATACCGGTTCATCAACACATGAGAGTTGACCAAACAACGACTCAACTCTGGGGTATCACAAATATAAAACTCAATATCTATTATAATAATTGAAGAAAAAATAATTAATTGAATTAAAAATATATATAGAGAAATATTCACACCTTGAATAAGTCAATGTATGACTAATGCTAGTAGCTGTTATTAAATATTATAATTACAATGTACTTACTCTATTTATTTTAAAAATACATTTTTTTTTTTACATGTTAGTGACTTAAATGAATAAGATTATGCATGTAGTTGTTGACTTAAATAATTTTGTATTTATTAGTGGCAAATATCATTGATATGGATGATTGGAGCTGCCAAGTATTCCCATTGCTGCTTCTTCATTTTTAACTTCATTATTGTGTTGCTGCTTGTTCGCATTCTTGTTGCTTTTAGATCTACTTTGTCCTAAGCTTCCATTTCAGGTGATCCTTCAACAATTTCGATTCCTTTATTTACTATTTCTTTGAAGCAACAATAGAGTTTTTATCTATCTGCTATATGATTTTCTAAATTCTTATTGTTTAAATGGTATCATTGTTTTGTGGAAAATATCAATAAATTAGGTTCATTAGATTTTTAAATTTTTTGAGAAATTATTGAAAGTCTTGGAGTAGCGTGGTTTGTTTTGTGTTTTCATACTTTATCAACTGAATTTCTAACACAAAAAATGATCAACCTGAATCACTCTATGAATTCTTGTTTAAGATTCAAGAAATTAAATAATTATCAATATTTGATTTATTTTCAAAACAAAATCACTGTGAATGAGAAATAGATGGTTTGTAAAATTATTATCATCCTTATAACGAACATTATTTAATAATGTGTCAACCAAACTAACTCTCACATTGGGACAGTGAACTTAGAACAGAGAAATCCATAGATAAAATTTACCATATAAAATATTTTCATATATAATTTGTGCCATAACTAAAGATCCATCCTTATCAAGAATCTTTAACTATGGTGTGTTTGTTGTTATTAATTACTCCCTCCGTCAGTCCAAATTTATTTTTTATTTTTTTTTTAGTCGGTCCGTCAACTAAATTTACCCAATTACTAATTTTGGTAAAATCAATGAATTAATAGTAAATTATTACTCATTATTCAACCTTGATTTACAATAAATACCCTTTGTTACATTCTCTTTTAATTTACTTTAATTTACAACAAATAACCTTTTATCACTTTTTAATAAAATATTTATTTATTTTTTTTTATGTCCGTATCGGACTCAAATAGACTAATTTTAATGGATGCAGGGAAGATTACGTAATTTTTTTGAGATGGTATCAAGAAATATTCCCCTAATCTCGAGTTGACATAAGCTGTTTTACGTGTATACCAGAGCATTCACTATGCTGGAAAAGGTCTTTTTTCGACTGAGCTTCTTTCTATCACCCCATCATTTCCAAAAATTACATGTTTTCTGCTCTCATGATCTGCTTCTAATTTCAAATGGCATAACACACGTACCCACAGGCCACAAACACAGATATTTCTAAAGCATATACAACAACTACTTGTCCTTATTTCAATTGAATGAACATGTGTGTTTCTATTAATGTATTTTAGTCTGTTGTGTTGAATACATAGGGCAAAATGCTTTGGGAAATTGCTGGAACTTTTCTCTCCAAGCTCGGGGAGAAGCTGGCGGATTATGCTCAGGGCACCGTGACAACGACGATAGACTACAATATAATATTGGAATCTCTACAAAGGAACTTGAAATCATTGAGTGATAAAGCATTCGATGTTGAGAAGGAGATTAAGAATGGTGAGCAGCCGGGTGTGAAGAAAAGGAAGCGTGAAGTCGAGAGCTGGTTGGCAGAGGTGCAGAAACTTGAAATGGAATTCACTGAATTCGAGGCTGCTGCTTTGGATTCTGATGGATTTACTAGTAGGTTCTTTGGGGGAGGTCGAGCCCAGAGACTGAGTGCGAGAGTAGACGGATTGGTTGAGCAGAGTCGACATTTTGGAGAACTGCTTCATGCTTGTGAACCCGAGCAAGTTCCGCTCTTGACAAAGAAGTTGGTGGGTAAAAAGTTTGAGGAGAGCTTTGAAAGGATTTGGAATTTGATGGTGAACGATAGAGTGTCAAATGTTGGGATTCATGGCATGGGTGGTGTGGGTAAGACAACGCTGGCGAAGCACATCCACAATCGGTTTGTTGAAGGAGCTCAACATGTTGTTATTTCGATAGCTGTATCTCAGACATTTAACATAAAGAATTTGCAGGATGAAGTTGCCAAGGCAGTGCATCTAGATATTTCAGAGGAGCGCAATGAAGATAAAAGAGCTGCGAGGCTGAACCGAGCACTATCACAAAGAAACAAGGTTTTGCTGATTTTTGATGATGTGTGGGAAAAGTTGAACCTTGAAAAGATTGGAGACCCTCTTTCTTTGGACTGAGTGTAGACTAATCATAACTGCCCGTTCGTTGGAAGTGTGCCGTGAAATTGGTTGTCGAGAAGTGATTCCAGTGAAATCACTCAGTAAGAATGATTCGTGGAGTTTATTTACAGAAACTCTTGGAACAGGATTGACACTAAGTTCCGAAGTAGAAGAAATTGCAGAGCTCATGGTGGAACAGTGTGGTGGATTGCCATTAGCCATAATCACAAAAGCTGGAAGTATGAAAGGTAGGACGGATATTTGCGAGTGGAGGAATGCATTGAGAGAATTGAATGATTCAATCATGCGAGAGGATGGCAATGAGGAAAAGGTTTTCAAGATACTCAAGTATAGTTTCAATCGGTTGGATCAAGGAGAAGAGAAGCATAATGGATTTACAATGATCCAAAATTGTTTCTTGAATTGTTGCTTGTATCCTGAAGATTCAAAGATAAATAGAAAAGAATCGATCGAACTACTCATTTTGGAAGAGTTGTTGGACAAAAGGAGGAGTAGAAGAAATAGAGTGGATGTCATTTTGAATAAGTTAGTGAATGTGTGCTTGTTAGAGAGTGATGATGAAACGGGGTGGTTGAGGATGCATGATTTTGTAAGAGCCATGGCATTGAAGATCACGAAGAATAGATATTTGAATATGGATATGCAAAGTTTGATGGTTGGAGGAGAAGAATGGAGTAGAGTAGAGATCTGAAGAAGGTTTCTTTGAGGAACATACAGCATATAAATTCCTGCAGAATTGTCCCCAAAATGTCCCAAGCTCTCGACATTGCTCTTTCAGAACAATTATTCTTTAAAGCTAATACCAGGTTCATTTTTCTTGGAGATGCATGGTCTGCGTGTTCTTAATTTGAATGGAACTAGAATTACAGAGATACCAGATTCTGTGTCTAATTTGGGGAGCCTTAAAGCCCTTCTCCTAAGTTATTGCAGCAATCTTCCCGGACTTGGGAAATCTCAAGGAACTAAGAGAGTTGGACGTTTCAGGGACCCCAATCAAGGAATTGCCTTTTGGAATGCAAGAACTAGTTAATCTCGAATGCTTACGGATTGAAGAAACTGCCATTGCTATTTTCTGGTGATTATAATTATGATTCCCTGATTTCACCACCCTCCCAGCAATTCACTATCCAAATTCGGAGATCAGAGAGGGAATGGTGGGAAGCATTGGAGTTGGAGCATCCCTCGCTCCATCCCCTCCTCCAACCTTTTCTCTATATATATTGATTTCACTCTTAGTTTAGCTAGCTTTGTTTTGTGTAACAATATACATAAATATTGTTGGAGAAATAATTTGGGATTGAATGAAAAAAGATGAAATCGGATTTGACAGGGCATATACGATGTTGATATACTTTGAGTCACATAGATTCACTTTCTTTATACGATATTTTGACCCTATTGATGTCCCGGGTTACACAAAATTCGTACGAAAATAAAACAAAGCAACACTCAAATTTTAGGCGAAAAATCGAGCAAGTAAAATGTTGGGAGATTATTTGTGTATGAATAATATATTTTGCAGAATTCTTGAGAAAGAAAAGACCTGAGAGTATTATGACTTATTTCACCCAAATACTTTGTGGTGTTTTCTCTCATTTTCTTTTCTCTTTTCTCTAAAAAAAAAAAAATAAAAATTCTATAAATAGATTTGGAAGTATCTTCTCCAAAAAAATCCAAATATTTTCATGAAAATATGCAATTTAATTTTAAATTGAAAAGATTCAATATTTTCATTAAAGTTGTTGATTCAAATTTAAAATCAATTAAATTTGAATTTTTGAAGGTTAAATGCATAATTTTCAAACAATATGTACCATGATTTTCACCTTCATTATATTATTTCACACTTTGTTAAATATCGTACAGGCTTTCTCGAGCGCGCACCCCACGCTACCCTTCCCGAAAAATAGCTTGATACAACATTTTTTTATCTTCGAATAAATCCAATAACAACAAAATAACCAAAAATCCTCCCCCATTTGGTCGTTATCCATGATTTATTCTCAGACTTTTCAACATACACGACAAACTAATGCATAAATGAAAATATCATAACAATTGAATTTTCATCTTAGTATATTACACATTTCAATCATTCGAGAATCTTGGTGTCCGAAGGATTGAACCTATCAACTCATATTGAATGTGAAGGAAAATTATATAAAATAAAAGGAGAATAATAAAATATATTGGGATAATGAAGAAATATTCACTCAATATATATATATCGATTTACTTACACATCGTATATATATATATATATATAAACAATTCAAACTACTACCATGAATATATTTATTACCCTTATTAACTTCTAATTAAAAATTCAAATTCAAATTATTCATTAATAATATTTAATTAACCAATTCAATTAGCATTTAATTAAAATTCAATTTAATTTTCCATCAAATGCCTCCCGTAAATTGAATTTGCTCTTGACTCTCAAAGCAGCAACATTTCTTGAGAAAACGGGTCCACCAAGCGGTTTTGTGAAGATATCAGCCAACTGCTCTTCACTTGGGCAACATGTAATGCCAATGTCACCTTCATTAACAAGATCCCTTAAGAAGTGAAAGCGAAGACGGATGTGTTTTGATCTTCCATGAAAAACCGGATCTTTGGAAACAGAGATAGTCGATTTATTGTCACATAACAATGTCGTAGGAGCATGCTCCTTAAAGCTCAAACTCTCAAGGATTCCTCTAAGCCACACAATTTGACTCCCAACCAAATATGCCGCTATGTACTCTGATTCGGTGGTGGAAAGTGCCACAATTGGTTGTTTTTTCGAACTCCATGAAACAACTCCACCTCCAAGATTAAACACATAGCCAGATGTACTTCGAGAATCATCACAGCTTTCTCCCAAGTCACTATCCGTATAGCCAACAAGTTTGATGGGAACGTTAGCTTCATAATATATGCCATAATCCAATGTCCCTTTCACGTACCTTAAAATTCTTTTGGCAGCCTCCCAATGATTCGAGAATGGCTTCTCCATGAATCTGCTAACCAAGCTCACAGCGAACATGATGTCAGGCCGAGTGGCTGTAAGGTACATCAAGTTTCCGATTAGGCTGCAAAACATTGTTGTGTCAACCATCTTCCCTTCTCCATTTTTGCTCAACTTCAAACCTGTTACGCAAGGGGTTGTTACTGGATTGGCATGCTCCATATTGAATTTTCTTAGAACCTCAACTGCATATTTTTCTTGAGAAATGAAAATTCCAGATTTTGATTGTTCAACCTTGATCCAAGAAAATGATGCAATTCTCCCAAATCACTCACCTCAAATTCCTTCATTATAGCTGCTTTAAAATTCTCAAGCGACTTCAAATCATTTCCAGTGAAGATAAGATCGTCAACATAAAGGCTCACAATCATAACACCGCCATTGCAACATTTTTTGACATAGAGAGTATGCTCGAGTGGGCATCTCTCAAAGCCAAACTTCAAGAAAAATTCATTAATCCTTCTGTACCATGCTTGAGGCGACTGCTTCAACCCATAAAGAGCTTTTATGAGTTTATAAACTTTGTGTTCCTCGTCTTTTCGAACAAATCCAGGAGGTTGCTCCAAGTAAATTTCTTCTTGAATAAATCCATTCAAGAATGCAGATTTCACATCCATTTGGAATAATTTCCAACCATTTTGAGCTGCAAGTGAAAGAATCAATCGAATTGTATCAAGCCTGGAAACGGGAGCAAATATCTCATTAAAGTCTTCTCATTCTTTTTGCTTGTAGCCCTTCGCAACCAATCTTGCCTTATATTTGTTGACTGATCCATCAAGATTTGTTTTTGTCTTGAACACCCATTTTACACCAATTGGAGATTTATGTGGAGGCAAATTTGTAAGCTCCCAAGTGCCATTCTTCTCGATGGAATTAATCTCCTCTTTCATGGCTTGCACCCATTTCTTCTCCTTCGCTGCTTCTTCATACGAGATTGGATCTACCCCTACAAAGAAAGCAAAGTACACTTGGTTTGGCCCATCAATCGCTTCAGTTTCATCCTAAAGTTCTCTCAAAGTCCTTGTTCTTCTCGCTGTTGGAGCTGCAGAATTTTCAGCAAGTTCTTCTTCACCAATGTTTTGCTGCATTTGTTGAGTATCAACATCTTCAAAATTAAGAACCTGCCAATGTGAGAATTCTGATGATAAATCTAAAAAATCATAGGAAGCATTCTCATCAAATCGTACATCCCTGCTGATCACAATTTTCTTTGATTTTGGGTTATACAATTTGTAAGCTTTTGTTCTCACACTATACCCAATGAATATGCATTTTTCAGATTTATCATCAAGCTTACTCCTCAAAGAATTTGGGATGTGTGCATAGGCAACGCTACCAAATATTTTCAAGTGGCTAACATTCGGCTTCTTCCCATACCACACCTCATTCGGAGTATAATTCTCCAAACTCTTTGTCTGCGATCGATTGATCTAATAGACAACACATGAGACCGCCTCTCCCCAAAATTCAGCTGGCATATTTTTTCCTTTTCAGCATGCATCGAACCATATCCATGATGGATCTATTTTTTCGTTCGGAAATGCCATTTTGTTGTGGTGAATATCGGGCTGTCAATTCATGTCGAATCCCATGGTTCTGACAGAATTCCTCAAACATTGAGGACATGTATTCCCCTTCACGATCATTTTGCAGGATTTTAATGTGAGAACTAGTAAATTTCTCAACCTGAGCTTTAAATTCTTTGAAACAAGGAAGTGCATCAGATTTTTCTTTCACCAAATAAACCCAAACTTTCCTTGTGAAGTCATCAATAAACAACAAGAAATATCGGTTACCTCCAAGCGATGGAACTTTAATTGGCCCGCATAAATCTGTGTGAACCAGTTCCAAAGGCATTTATGATTTCCAATCAGATTTTGATGAGAAAGACTCTCGATGTTGCTTTCCCAATCGGCACTCTTCACAAACTTCTTGTACTCCTCCGATTTTGGGCAGTCCATATACAATCGATTTATTCGAAAACTCCTACAAGCTCCCAAAATTAAGGTGCCCAAACCTGTCATGCCACAGGTTGGAGATTTGCTCATTAACAGCAAGATTTCCAGCATTATTTAAGATATCAAGCTTCAAAGCAAACAAATTGTTTGCGAATGAATATACGAAGGCATTTTTGATTTCCAATCAGATTTTGATGAGAAAGACTCTCGATGTTGCTTTCCCAATTGGCACTCTTCACAAACTTCTTGTACTCCTCCGATTTTGGGCAGTCCATATACAATCGATTTATTCGACAACTCCTGCAAGCTCCCAAAATTAAGGTGCCCAAACCTGTCATGCCACAGCTTGGAGATTTGCTCATTAACAGAAAGATTTCCAGCATTATTTAAGATATCAAGCTTCAAAGCAAACAAATTGTTTGCTCCCAAACCAATTTTTGCTATGATTTGATTTTTCTTCTCCATAGTGCAAAAGTTGTCAACAAAATGAATATCAATCCCCTTTTTCATTAAGTGGCCAACACTTAACAAATTGCTTTGTAATCCAGGAACATAAAATACCTCAGACATTTTCTCAAGTCTCCCATTTTTCGCCTTGAATGAGATTTCTCCAACGCCTTCGATCTTATATGCCTTGGCATCTCCAATAGTAACCTGCCCATGATTAGCTTCGACAAGAGTGGAAAACAGATTTTTATTTCCAGTCATGTGTTTGCTTGCCCCGCTGTCCAAATACCAAATATCCCCAATATTTCCATTTGAAGCAATCAACAATGTTTCTGTATTTTCGACTCCTTTCTCATGCACAAAACCATTTTCACGCCTCTTTTCTGGATATTTTTCCAAACAATCAGAAATTTTATGTCCCGGTTTGTGACAATAATAGCACTCTACATAAGGTTTTGTACCTTTATAGTTACCACGCCCTCTTCCTCGTTGGGTGAAAGATCGTAATTTCTCATCTTCACGCCGCTCTTTATTTTCTGTAGGTGGTTGGCCACCCCTTCCTCGTCCACAGCTTTGATTTCGTGCTCGCCCGTGTCCACGAAAGAAACCACGCCCTCCCGTAAATTGGGACTTCAAAGTGTGATCTTGAGAAATGGAACTTTGAGAATTCCTTTGAAGTATTCTTACTTCATGTGCAAACTTTCTAATGCCATCGACGAGAGATCTTGCGACTCCTCTATTGCTACCACAACATGGTCGAATTTACTTGGTAGGCTACGCAAGATTTTCTCGACTATCCGTTGGGTTTCAACAACTTCTCCATTTGATGCCATTTGATTCACAAGAGAATTTTCTCTCGTAAAATAATCTCCAATTTTCATTATCTTTCATCTCCATTTTTTCAAAT